TCGATCATCCTTGAAATATTCTTCTCCAAAACCCTGTGGGAAAAATGAGAAGAAAATATACAACATTGACATGAAGAACTCCTTCTAAAAAACCCAGTGGAAAAATAAGAAAAAAATGACATATATCGTCCATGCTTGCATTGATATTGCCTCATTAAAAACCTTACATGAGAAACCATTTGGAAAAACTAACAAAGGAAAAGAGTGCAATATTAAAGATCTCATGATCTTAACAGGTTATATCTTAGGAGATTTCTCCCCCTGAATTTTGCAAGTCTCGAAGTCGTCTCATACCAATTCCAGTTACATATTTATGAAACAGAGAACTTGGCAAAGACTTCGTAAATAGATTAGCGAGATTGTCGCATGACTTCGTTTACAAAATACTTATCTCCCCCTTTTCTTGCAGATCATGGGGATAAAATAATTTAGGAGTGTAGCGACCCGACCTCAGATGATCAAGTCTCTGTGCTTCAGTGTCATCCCTGAATCGGTAATGCTGACACACACAGTATTCGAAGAATTTATAACAGAGTAGCAATCACACATTTATTACATCAAATGTCTCAAGAGACAACTTATTACAATAATATGGCTTAAGGCCATCTAATACGATAACAGCGGAATGCTTGGAAGATAAAGTGAGTCCATCAACTTCAACGACATAGCTGAGCTGCACGGCAACGACAAAATGGGTCAGCACATGGAATATGCTGGCAATATAACACAGTAGAGCAAGAACAGAATAATGCTATCACTACATGCATATATGGCTGGTGAAAAGCTCTATGGTTATAGTTTTTGCGAAAAGCCAATTTTTCCCTATAACAAAGGAATATATTTTAATTTAACTATCATGGTAATTGAAACATCATTGAGAAGGTTCCTCCAACTCAATCCCAATTAAAGTGATTAACAACCCAACAATATTAATTAAGAGTGATGAGATACATGTGATAACACAAGTACTAGATACTCAAGAATTGTCCATAACCGGGGACACGGCTAACCATGATTAGATTGTACACTTTGTAGAGGTTTGCGCACTTTTCCCAACAAGACTCGATCGCCTCCGTTGGTTTTCTCGCACTACAGGGTGTTTGAGAAACGGATGACCGAGACACAGTCTTTCAGAAATATTAACTCTCTACCCCGGACAGACCATACCAAACCTACATCCCACTACCTACTGATCTGCCTCTTCAAGAGCTTCACGTAACTTACTCAACTATGCTAGAGCCCATAATAGCTTGTGGCTGCACACAGAAGTTTCTAGCATGAATCATCTCAGTTCCCTTTGAGCCTGGGTGGCGGTCCATAGGAAGATCACACGGGTACTCTGGGATTTCCAAAAAATACAGGCAACACTGGGTACTCCAGGTGCCTCAATCCACCCAGATGTTAATTTAAGTTGCCACCTTAAGTTGAACCATTAATTAACAAGCTCACATCTGTCATGGATTTCACTCAAACCCAAACCACGTCTACGAGCATATCATAGCATAGTATTATAAGCAAGCGTAGAAGTAACTCCCAAGGGTTTGAATATAGCAGGGCAATAGGTTCTACCTCATCAACTACTTCCCAACCCACAAGTTAATGACATCCTAATCATGCAATGTTTGAGGATTGAAATTAATGCATAAAAACTGGGTGATAAAGGGGTATGATCAAAGTGTTACTTGCCTTGCTGACGATCCGCGAATTCTAGAGACTCATAGTAACACGCTTCGCACTCCGGGAATTCTATCGCAAGCAAACAATAGTATACATAAGTAACAAGCAAAGATGCACAAGCAAAACTCAAATAAAAGAGGTTGACCAGAAAGTTCAAATTAAGAACTCCGGTGCGCAAAAAGAATCAAATCAAACGGAGCAACGAAACTCAAACGGCGAAAGAAAGAAGCTTCATTTACTAATCTGAAACTAGGTCAAATTTTAGAGTAGAAAAATCTTGTTTGAGTTGGTTAAACGGAAAGAGAGTTTCGAGATGAAACTCCAGGCGCTTGAATCGCCTGATTCCGACTAACGAGCGAAAAGAAAAACAGAAACTAAGATTGGATCAGAAATCGCGATCAGAGAAAATCGCGGAATAAATCCGATCAAAGAAAACTGACGAACAGACTAACGTACGAGCGTTCGTTAGCTGTATCTAACGGGCGAAGAACCGTTCGTTAAAACGAACATTCGGACGAACGTCCGCTAA